TCTTTCCGATCTGGTTCTCATGGGCGGCCGTTGATGATCCTGGCCGAACTTCCTTTACCGTTATAAGAAGAACGTTGGCCACTGGCACATATACTTCCTGTCGACTCTTTCTGACCGGACTTGCGCCTCCCATTGATTCAAGCTGACTCGCCTGTGAGAATTGCGATGCTTGTCTGTTATTGTTGTGATATTCAACTTTGGGGGCCAAAGACGGAGGTGTAACATGATCATGCCGGGCAGTATGCTCTCTGTCATATCTCGGTCTTCACTCGAGTCAGTTGATAAGCGCCTCACCCACAAGTGAATCAAAAACCGGTGTCTCGGGCACGGAACAAGACTCTCCTCCCAATGTGTTCACCGCCCATTGTCCCTGCTCTTCACTACTCCGTGCTGCTGCTCGTCCCGACATGTAAAGAGGTGATTCGCATGCTGAGTGTCTGCCTCACGCGGGGTTGGCTTGGATCCGACCTTGGCGGGACCTTGCTGTTGGGGTAAGCCGTGAGCGATGTACGGAGGAAGAGCAGGGGCATTTTAAGGAACTGGTTTGTTGTGAGATTTTTGCAATACGTCGGACGATAAATATGTGTTTTCCCTGGCCAATGTTGGCTTGCTCCTGAAAGCGGGGCAGTTCGGGATAGCCTGTGGTACTGCGAAAGGTGCGAACGCAAGAGTGAGGAATGGAGAGGTACTCCCGTCGCGTCTGCCCGAGACGCTTAACTCGGGCTCTTCTCCCCTCCTAATTACAGTGAGCTCCGGCGAGCGAGGCAGTGTACACGGATTTTTGGGCCTTGTTGAGGCGAACGACCATTTTGGGCCAGTTGCGTTGTGTGGCTCGTTTGGGCAGTCTCTCCCACGTGAGGCGATCGGCAACAAAAGAGTTGCTTGTCAGGTCTTCTTTCCTTTTCTTCCTCGACTCTGTACTCGCTGCTCGTCTATATACCACGGAACGACCGTCGCCTCGACTATACCTACTCAATCTTGTACATTAATTCCCGTGTTTCTGACGCGCCCGACGCGCCACCGACACGACCACAAGAAAACACAACGGTGTTATGGCTGTTCCTACTTCGCAGAGGCATAGTAGGCCCAACAGCCCCCCGACGAACGCCACGAACTCCACGACCACGCCGCTCCGTCCACGGCTTTCGAGCATTTTCAATGCTCCGTCGTCAGCGTACTCGCCGACGGTCACCCAGGGCGCGAACACGCAAAAGCTCAATGTCGTGACGCGTGTAGCGATTGAGGGAAAGGCGAAGCACGGCGACGATGGCGCGAGCATCAAGATGTACCTCAAGGTGCGCCCAACTTTTTTTTGGCCGACCCCCCACGCACTAACTTTTTGTGGCAGATTTCTTTGCCCTTGGACAGTGTCACCGCGGGGTCGACTATTGCGCTGTTCCCCGGTTAGTCTGTGGCTACATGTTACTCGGCGGGTACTGAATTTTGAGCAGAGGAGAGTGTCAAAATCTTGTCCTCCCAGGTTCACCCGCTCGACAATAATTCCGTCCCGTACGACTTCTCGTCGGACTTGTCCCCGCTCCTTCACCACGCGGCACGGGCACTCAACCGTGAGTCGCGGACCCCTACTTTTTTATACCCAATTTCTGAGCTCTCTACAGTTCCGAGCCGCTCGTCAGAGTCCTACCACACGGCCTTTGGTTTATCGCCACCTACCGCCAGCGCCTCTGTCGCCGGGTCCGTTCGATCCACAAAGTCCAACGGGTCCTCCTCCTCAACTAGAAGCGCTACGCCGCCCGTAGACACCAAATACACCGGTCACATCCTCGTCAGCGGCTACCACATTTCATATGTGCTACCCAAGGTGTTCCCGGTGCGGTACCAGGACAGCGACGGGTACTCGCGCTCCGCGGGCAGCTTGCGGCGCTCGTCCATTGTAGAACGCAACACCGTGCAGTTCATGGCCGCCATCGACATGTTCGTGCCGTACGCCTCTCGCCCGCCGCGGTCCCCGTATCTGGTACGCTCCATTTCGCTGCTCGCTCCCGGAGCCGTACTGACGCGTGGCGCAGGTTTCCATCCCCACGCCGCGGTGCCTGCACAACAATATCCGGCTCCGCATCTTCCCGCCGTCTGCCGTCTCCGCGTCGTTCGCGTCGCTTTCCTCCGCGGATGAGGACGCCGCGTCTTGGGACCTCACGTCCGACCCGCACGTCACGCGCGCCACGTCCTCGCGACAGTCGCGCTCCGGGACGTACTCGTACGGCAACATTGCGGACGACGAGTCGAGCGACTCGTCGACCACAGGTTTCTCCGAGGGGTGCGGGATCCAGGGGACGTTCCCTAGCGCCGAGCGCATCCGTGTGCGCTGGGCGAAACCGACCAAGGTCGTGGGCGGCGGCGGGGACGGGCGGCGGCGCGTCGGCGTGAAGGACGTCAAGGGGGACATGACGTGTGCGGTGCTGGGCAAGATGTGGGATCCGGAGCAGAAGCGGGAGGGCATCGTGATGAATGTGGACTACAAGGGGACATGCAAGGGTGTGTGGTTCCCTGGGGTGGCCACGATGCTCGGGATGGACGTTAGTCTGGAGGCCAAGGGCTCCGATATATCATGGGTGCCGGGAAGGCTCAATGACTGGGAGGTCGGGGGCGGTGCTGGGTATACGGGATTCGACGTCGGCGCGTCACCGAAGCCTGACGGCCCGTCGAGGCATGATTCGCTGGACTCGAGCTATTCCAATGGCGGGCCGCAGATCTTCCTCTCGTCGGAGCGCAACAACATGTCTCGCACGAGCTCGGTGTCCTCGTCGTCCTCTCTCCTTCGGGGTCCTCTTCCGGCGCACAGCGTTCCCGAGTACTCTTTCGAAGGCTCCGCCCCGCCGTCATCGTCCGCCTCCGCGTCGCAGAGCAATTCGATCGCGTCGTCCGTGGGGTCCCTTCTCCCAGGATCTACGTCCTCGATCGACTCAATGCCGCGGCCCCCGGGAGTACCAGTGACAATCCACATCAACATGAACGAGCTGACCCTCCCCGCGTCCAAAAACTCGTTCCCGTTCTGGATATCGGGCACCGTGCTGGTCACGCCCCGCCCCCGGCCTGCGCCCGCGCCAGCGCCATCGCGCAACGCCTCGCCCGTGCGGGGCGAGCACGACGCCGACACCCCCACCCCGCCGATCGACCCCGAGTCGATCATCATCCCGCGCTTCACGGTGCTCGCAGCGGACAACGAGACCGTCGCGGTCGTCGTGCGGCACGACGCGGACTCCAACCCGCCATGCACCATCGAGGTGAGCAGCGGCGAGCCGCACCAGCGCGGGCCCACGCCGGGCAAGACCGTCTTGCAGAGGGGCGACTACACTAAGTGCCTCGAGCGCGCGCGCATCGCGGTGAAGCCCGGCGTCCCCTTTTCCTCGTCGTCGGCGAACGGCGCGGTCGTGGGTGCGAACGGGAAGCTGCATCCGCCGAGCCGCCCGCGGACGCCGACCACCGCGGTGGGGTCGCGCGAGCGCGTGCCGTCGGCGGGGACGTCCACGCGCGCGATGTCCGTTTTGGGCCTCGCGCCTGCGCGGCCGAAGCGCGATGGCGCGCTGATGATCCCGAGCGTCGTTGCGACCGTGACGCCGCTCGTCGTCATGCCCGATAGCGCAAGCAGTGCGCTCGCGGCGGTGCCCGATGCGTACGCTGTGCGCGTAGTCCTCGCCGCGCCGGTGGACGCAGAGTCGGATTGGCTGGAGTTTGGGCTGGCCAAACACGGCGGGGCAGGCGGGTCGGGGTCAGGGTCGGCGGGTGCGCCGAAGGTCGAGATTGTGAGTGTGAGCGTGGAGGATGTGCCGGTCCTCTACGAGACTAGTGTTGTGGTGAAGCAGGAGGAGCCCGGGCTGGGGCTGCCGTTTGAACAGATGAGCGGGCAGGAGTGGGTGAGCTGGGTGAAGCTCCGTGTTGGGTCCGCCGGTGGGGGGCGCGTCGTAGTTGATTACGTCGTGAAGGACCTCGATGGGCAACCCGTCGCTGATAAGAAGGGGAAACGCAAGGCAAAGGATCACACACAGTTCGACGTATATTTGCCATCCTTCGGATTACCCGTGGGGAGGTTGGAGGTTAATGTCGATGGTATTCAAGGCGAGTCGACTGTTGTTTCTCTCGCTCGCTCGTAGGCTAACCCTCGCCCCAGGCCTGGAAATCTCGTCTTTAAGATCGAATTTCTCTCACCATCAATCTGTGCACTCTGGACGGCGTCTCCTACATTATTCTCTGCAGGAATTCTTCTATCCCCACATATCTTTGGACATTCGTCTAGACCGCCAACGGCATTACACCATGCACCCTTTCTCCCCATCCCCGACGAGCTTCGGCCAGCTCGCGATCCTCCTCGGGTCCTGGGCGATCATCCTCCTTGGATTCATGTATCTCGTCCGGCTGAATTCGGTGGTATCACAACTGTCGGATTCACTGGAAGGATACTCGCTCGCTGTCGGCTCGGGATGGAGCGACCTTCCCGAGCCCATCACTATCACCACCACCGCCTTCCAGGGAAACCGATGGCAGTGGTTCAACAGCGACGCCAAGTCATCAGAGTCTGCGACGGGTTCAGAGCCCGAACCTGAGCAGCTCAGTCCGGACAGCACTCCGAGCAGCACCTCCTCGGCGGCACTCACGTCCCCGCCAGCACCCTCTGCTGCGGAGACGCCGCGGGTCCTTCCAACCTTCACCGCCGAGCCGTCCGCCGCCGTTGCTCTCTTTCGGCCTCTCGCCTTCAACTGGCGCAATATGACTTGGCCCGAGATAGACATGGATCTCGCATTAGAAAAACTCCTCTGGGGTGCAGAGAAACTGTGGCGGTTCGCCCGGAAAATATACCACTACCCGTTGGATCCTACTTGATTTACGTATAATGATCTGTAACATGTATATGCTTATGATTTAACGCTTATGAGGGAGTGGTCGCAATTGTGTGTGCTTAGACTGCTTTACGCAGAGGAACATAGAGCCATCGATCCACGCATCGATCAAAAGGAAAATGGATGAAACCTCAAAAAATGAAGCGACGCCAGCAGGACTTGAACCTGCGCCCGGAAACCGGAACAGATAAGGTACGAAGCTCTGAGAGGCCGCAAGGTTCGAATCTGTCGCCTTAACCACTCGGCCATAGCGCCCATGAGAGTAATCGCCCCAAAAGAGTCACTACACCGGAAGGCAGTGCGTGACTTTGGACATTGTTTACTAGTTTACTATTGTATACACTGCCTCTGCTTAATGCAAAGCTGAGGTCCGGTTGTTTCCGACAGTGCACTGAATCAACTATTCCGACTCCTCCGAGTTTCGGTCGAAACGGTCTAGAAATTTATATCCATACAACTATGTCTTCGTTCGGTCCAGAGGGGGAGGTGGGGTACTGGGGCTTGGAGGTCTGCGTCGGATCTTGCATGTATGAGAGAGGAACCGATGAGAACTTGAAACTAACGTACAAAAGCTGGAAACCTTGCATGTTAACGTCTGTTAACGTTCATGCCATTGAGAGAAGTTTGAAATTGATGTAGCGTCACGGATGTGAGCAGCCACGTTCCGGTCAAAGCGTATTATTTGCACCCCAAATCCGTATGTAAATGCTTTGACCAGTGGCGCAAAGGGGGCGGACAATGAATAGATTCAGATACAGAAGTGCTTGCTGTCTGAACTAGGACAAAACTAAGCACCTGCCAGGCTGCAGTTGCATAAGTGACCACTGGCAAAGAATTGTTCACTGTTGTATCCAACAGAAACATCCAACCCTTGGTCCATGTATCCCCATGAAATATCGTCCATTTGTTGATGAATACGATCCGTTGCACGAAGATCGTACAGAGTAAATGCACGCATCCGGGTCAAGGTTTCGCTTTCTTGGAAACGGAACCGGATCATTCGCTGAAGTTGATCGCAGTGCCGTTCATCGTATAGGTTGAGGTGCCCCACCCGGAGCACCTCTAATTTTGAGCCTAGGGCCGGTTGGTAGGGCGATGGGAGAAGAGTTGTCACAAGATCCTGGGGGGTGGTATTTGGTACGTTGATGAAGATTTCGACGAGCTCAGGACACCGAACCAATATGTCCCTGAAACTCCCAGGGATGCGCTCCGGGTACGTTTGTAATCGCAAGATTTTTAAACGAGGGGGCAGGTGGGGAATGAGATCTTCCTGGCTCCAATGATAACTGTTGGTCCGATTGTAACTCAGACTTTGAAGGATCGGCATGTCGAAAAATTTCAAGACTCCGCGATCACAACTGAACTGTGCATGTTGCAGTTTGGACAGCACAACAGGAGGATGCTCCGGGATTCTGATGTGGTCGATAAATTGCACACATAAATCAACCACGTCGGTCATTTGACGGTAAGAGTCCCATCGGACAACGTCATCTGGCATTTCGTGCGGACCCTCCCAAGTACAGTCGGTTTCGCAATATCTCGTGAGTTGTGCCCAAGGAATGCATCTCCGAGTGCTTTCGGTGATGGTGAACGAAGCTAGAGTGAGGTCGTTGACAAGCGCGGGGCACTCGAAGACAATGCTGGGCCTGCCCCTCGTAAACGCAATGGCAAGGATGCGCAACTGCTCAAACTTTGCGCTGGATCGATGGAATTCCTCCAGTAGATCATCCGCAGGGTTTACCAAGACCAGGCGGTTCAGGCGACGTGAACCTGCGAGGACTTTAACGGTGTTGAGCATTGTGCTCGGCGAGTCATTGTAGATCACCCGGAGTGAAATTGAGGCTTGTCTAGACCGCTCAAGACAGGTTTCGATCGAGGAAAGCCTCCTTTGCTCGGACTCTAAGTTGGGCCAGTCTTCGTTTGTCCCGACATCGTCGTATTCCCAAGGATAGCTGGACTCCCTGAAGGAGGGACAAAATCCCCCCCCTGTCGGCGGCGACGACCGCAAATCGTGGACAGACCATAAGCATTGCACCGACAGAGCGACGCTCCTCCAGTAACGGCAGATATGGCCCAAATACCACGGGGGCCGGGCCACGGGAACCTCAACTCGAGCACCATAACGAGGGCTACGCGGAAGCTGGTGGTTGCCACCTAGCACTGGAACAAGATTGAGAAATATCTCGCCGATAATCTCCGGTGGCAAGCGTCGGATGGGAGAAAAGACGCCTTGGTACAGCCGGATTTTGGCGCGCAGCAGTCGCTCTTCGGAGATGAGTGCATTCCGTTTGGCTTGCATTTCTCGCACGGCGGAGTGAACCTGGGAGATCTCGGCTTTTAACTTGGAAAGGACGGCATTCTGAGTTTGCAGGATGTCCTCGATGACCACTCGGTATGCCGCCTGTGGCACATCGTTAGTCCGGATGAGGGCGGAAGCGGGGTCATCTGGATCCTCCGGGGTCGGGCTACTAGAGCCTGCGTGAACACAGTCATCTTCATCCCAAGGTTCGTCCGGTTCGTCCTGGCTCTGGAGAGGGCTTGATCAATTTCTCGATTTTTCAACTAATTGGAAACTCACAGGCCACCAATCACCGTCGGCGGCAGCCGCGTAAGGATTCTCATGGTCCATGAAAGTCTTTGCTTTTCTCTGACGACGTGATGGTTCAAGAAAGGGGTTATTTGTTACTATTTGTTCTAAAATTAGGGCCCTGGCCCCTTCAGCGGTCAAAGCGAACTTTTGCGATTTTCTTTTGTCGGCTTTTGAAGATTAGTCTAACACATCCTGCAAAACCAATAGATCAGAGAATAATTGAAGGTACATGCGCTGATGTACGAAAAAAGCAATCCCACACCGTGAGGAAATTCCGTAGTACTATATATTACGTACTGTACATTCCACACAGATACTACACGAAGACGGATCCGCTTGACATAACTCAGTGGCATAAGTGACCCTCGGCAAAGCGCTCCTTGCCTCCAGTTTCGACAAAGATCGGTAAGCCTTCGTCCATGTACTCCGTCAAGGCTTCGACTATCCCTGAATAGCATTCATCGTCCGAGTCAAGGTCGTACAGATGAAATTCGCGCATCCTTGACTCTTTGTTGCAATCCCGAAAACGACCGTGAATCAGTTGCCGAATTTCCTCGCAGACGCCTTCTCCGAGTTTGAGGTGCCCCACCCGAAGCACCTTTAGATTCGAGCACACAGGCGCTTGATCTTCCTGTATGATGAGCGTGGAAAGGAGATCGTGGGTGCTGAGTTTGGGAGTGTCAATGAAGATTTCGGTGAGATTTGGAGACTGCGCCAAGATGTCCTTGGAAAACAAGGTAACAGGTTGCTTGGTCACTTGCAATCGGAGAATTTTCAGACGAGGCATTGGACCTGGCAGACGAAAAAGGGCCAGCTTCCCCCGCTCCGCCTCCTCCGCCTCCTCGTCCTCGTCCTCGGACCAGGACCAGTAGGAATACTGGGCATGATCGTAGCTGAGGGTTTGAAGATCGGGCATATTGAAAGATTCAAGAACACTTCTTCGGCCCTCATAACTAAACCTGGCATGCTCCAGCTTGGGAAGCAGGACGGGATCTTCCGGGCGTGTGATCGTTGTAGAAGTCGGAAATTCCACACACAAATCAACCACGTCGGACAGCTGGCGATACGAGTCCCACCGCAGATCTTTGCGTTCGGACCAATGTCCGGACGGTTCCCACGTGCAGTCCGTTTCACAATATTTAGTGAGTTGTGACCAAGGGATGCATGACTGAGCGGTTGAGCTGAGCTCCAACGAAGATAAAGTGAGCTCGGTCAAAAGTGCGGGGCACTGGAAGATGAGCCTGGGCGTGCTCCAGGTAGCATTGGTAAACACTATAGCAAGCCTGCGCAATCGCTCGTATTGTGCACAGGATTGTGAAAACTGAGCCAGCAGTTCCGGCGGAAGGTCTACCAAGACCAGGTGGTTCAGGCGAGGTGCACACGCGACAAGAGGTTTGAAAAACATGGCACCGTCACCACCTGAGATCGTGCTGCAGAAAATCAACCTGGACGAGATCGGAGCTTGGCCTGACCGCTGCAGACACATGTCGACGGAAGCAAGCCTTTGCTGGATCAACGACGACTTCTGTATGCTGAGAGAATGCGCCTCCGCCGCCTCTAATTTCCTTCGTTCGCTGTCCTCAGCATCGCTCTGCGACGAGGGGTAGGAGCAGGGATATCGCCGTCGGTTGTAATACAGCCGATCGAACCCGGACCATAAATCGTATACGGACCATAGAGAACGCACAGAAAGAGCGACACGTCTCCAGTAACGACAGATCTGGCCTAGATACCACGGGATCTCGGCCTTCGACACGCTACGTCGACCACTATCGTGGGGGATATGGGTGGTTCCAAACACCGGAGCGAAATGAAGGAAGATCTCGCCGATGATCTCGGGTGGCAACCGTCGGATTGGGGAAATAACGCCCTTGTATTGGTGCATTTTAGCTACCAGGGAGTGTTCTTCGTTGATGAGGGCATTCCGCTTGGCTTGCATTGCTCGCACTGCGGAGTGGACTTCGGATATTTCAGCTTTTAGCTTGGACAGGGTGGCATTCTGTGTTTGTAGGACATCCGCGATGACAGCCACCTGAGCCTCCTTCGGCGCGTCATTGGACGTGAAAAATAGGGTCCGCCGACATGACAATTCAATTGTCAGTTGACTGACAAATGACAGTCATTTCCTGACTGACAGTTAATTATTTAATTTTTGCTGGAAAATCCCACTGACAGTCCTGACAATTCCAACCCCGGTTAAGCTGCTCATCACACATACTAGGGGCTCAAAATTGCCACGAAAATCTACCTCAACAGTATTTCTTCCGTTTTGACCTTCCTCTGACAGTGACACCCATATCAAGCAACTGGTCACGCTGTTTAGAGCCGGCAAACATCGAGAACTGATGGATAAGATCAAATATTGATGAACCGGATCGAGCCGTGATAAATCGACCGAAAAAAAGGTGCAAACATGTCTGCAACCAAGATTGCAAGCTAACTTTGTGCAAACACACCCTCCGTAGCATCCCAGGACGCTAAATTTGCCTGGTATTTAGTCGAGTTGAATATCCCAAATAGGTAATTGTCACAACTGTTATCTGTCGGTCCTGACAGTCAGCCTGTCATTCTGACTGACAATCAATTATTTTCTTCAAAGTGGAATTGTCGGCGGACCCTAGTGAAAAAGATAGCCGGAATGGGGTCCGGATCCATCGGGGGTGGA